ATAACTACGACTATATGACTGTTTGATTCTCCTTGCTTCTATAGTTTTTCAAATATATTACATCTTTTCTTCCTGTGCTCCCTTGACATATTGGTGCCGTTTGGTTTTTACATCATATTTGGCTTAAGGCTATTTTATTTATTTTTTTCATTTTTTTCATTTCACTCGTTCTTCATTTTGGCCCTCACGTATGATCACTATAAAATTTTAATCTAGTCAAGGTTCTCAGTATAATAAATTTCAGAAAGAAAAAAAAAACTTAATTTACACACTGAATGAATTTCATTTTATGGAATACTTTTGCTATATTCAGAAACGTGAATTGAATAGAATAAGTTCATTTATAAAGTGGAAGATGAAAAAATGGTACCTATTGGGTGACCAAACTATAGTTGGATCTCCTGGAAGCTGTGCAAACCAAACGCCAAGCACAAACAATCGATTATCGGTATCTGCTGGAGTGAACCCGAAAGCAAATGTGCCGTTTTCTGAAACCCAAGTTAGGGCCTTGCTAGACAATAACCTGGAGCCCAAGGCAACGTGGGCCGAAATGCAGGTACTAAAAGAAGAGAGGCCCAAAGCAAGAATTAGGCAGTAACATGAAAAGGAAGAGTAAGCAGCATTGGCCATGGAAAGTTGTCAGAGTAGCATGGTAGAGTGGTTTTGGAGTGAAAGAACAAAGCTTAGAAAATGTTATGGGATGGTGTTATATAAGGGGATGAGTAGCGGGCGAGTGTAGTGTTGTATTTGGAGAAGAAAGACATAGAAAATGAACACGTGGAAAGTGGTGGTTGAACTATAAAGTTTGAAAAATGTTGTGTAATGTGTGGTCGGTAAATAAGATATGATTAGATATGTGTGTGTAAGGTGGCATTGGACACAGTGCTTTGTGGGTTTCAAATGGGGATTCAGATGTGTGCATGGCCGAAAGAGCAAAGGCTATAAAACATGGACACGTAATTGTTGAAAATATTAGTTTGTACCCAAGCAAGTTAGAGGATGATGATTGTGAATGTACGTTTGTTCACGTTTCTCTCTTTCAAAAGGAAAATGTTATTTGGACAACAAAAGTTTGACACAATTTTGACAACGGCGACGTGGCAGCTGTGCATTGGCTCAGTGAACCGGGGTGAGGGGTATTTTGGGTTTTTTCTGGTTTGTTTTCAATTCACTGAGCCAATGCACAGCTGCCACGTCGCCGTTGTCAAAATTGTGTCAAACTTTTGTTGTCCAAATAACATTTTCCCTTTCAAAAATAGGGGCATTTGCCATTTTACGCGTTCATCCATGCTGACTTTTCGCCACCTAACTTCCTCACTCGATCTTTTTCATGACGATCGCTTCACTTAAAAATAAATTAAATATATTTTGGTTCGTCAAATAAAATTAAAATTTGTAAATGTTTACAAAACTAATAGTATCAAATGATGTCCTGATTTTTTTTCGTCAATTCACCTATTTTCACTTTCAAATTACAAAAAAAAAACACAAATTTTATTTTTAAATTTATCCATTTACTATTTTTCAAATTCATTATTTTAAAAAAATACACCCTTAATAAAAACAATCTGACATTTACCTCATTTTCTACTCAAATCTATCTTTCAATCCAAATAAATACAACATTGACAATTTTTTTTACATTCAATCACAATACATTGACCAATCATAACGGTCCAAATTTGGTTAGTGATTTTTTTATGTTTTTATTTTCATGTATTGATTTAATAAGTAATTTATATTTTATATTTACGTTTATGATTTATTTTTCTTTTAATATTTTTTGTTTGGATTACTTTTATTAAATTGTTGCTAATATATATTAAAATTTATACTGTTTTTTATTTTGGTATCTTTTAATTTTTAATAATAATGTTTTTTTAAACGGTGTTACGTTAATTTGATCAAATTATCAAACTTATTCTATTTAAAACATATTAAAATCCAATTAAATAAAAAAGTATAAAAATAAAACAAATTAGAAATTTAAATACAAAAACTAAATTACTAGTAGTTTCAAAAATATTCATTTTATATATGAAAATTTTAATATATTATAAAACGTCAGAATAAATATATATTAGTATATTTTAAAATCATAACGAAAAGATAACATACAAATTCATTAAAAGATTTAAATTTTACTATCCACCATTCTTTTCCTTATTTGCAGATCACCCTAAATTACTACCTCCCAAATCTTACCTGCATTAATTTTGTCAATCCAAACAAAACATAAGAGAATTTAGGAGAGAATGAATACATGTTAATAGAAGGAATAAAATTTACTTATTTATTCTAAATAAAATTGAGATCAAACTTAATCCTTCACAGTATTATGATTACACTAAAATTATGTTTAATATAAGAAAAAAATCTAAAAAAATAATTTAGCCTATAAATATAATATTATGTTATTGTTGAATAGAAAGATCATGGCTTTCTGGCCATGCGATAATTATATTCATAAATTGATGAATGACGAGTTCCAAATATATGGTTAGTTATTCCTGATGAATGTGTTTTCTGTCATAATCGAATTTAAGAGATTCCACCGTCCATTGAGCTTTAACTCCAATTTTGGATGAACAAATTTTAAAAGAAACTGCAAAATTTATTGCATTTATCCATTTTCAACTTATAACTACTTGTTTGAATATGCTTTTCTTTCTTTTCTACTAACTTTTGAAGAAGAAAACATCAATACCACAAATATTTTTGTATCATTTTGCATCAACTCATGAATCATGTTTTTATTTGTTGTTTTTCATGTGTACGCTCTAACTTTTCAGCATTTTATTTTTTATTTTATTAATTAAAGTCTGTTTCAAAAAAGTTAATAGAAAAACTTAAAAATATGAAAAATAAGACAGTTTTAATTTCAAATAATATTCCTTTCTTTTAAATTTAATTAAAACTATTTTAATAATTTATTCTATTACTTAGTTTATTTTATTTTATTATTTGGTTATATCAATCAAATCTATAATTTTTCCATGAATGATTTTTTCACTTTTTACTCTCTTTCTTTCTATTTAAAGTTTTTTTTCATTCCTTTTTTTACTTCATCTTCACTTCGAACGAAAACATAAGTGATAAATAATATGTGATCATAGTAATATAATGCAACAAAATGTCATGTTAAATAAAATTAAAAATGAAAAAAAATTATCAATTTTTAAGTAAAATCAGAATATTAAGAGTCATATATGATTATAAATTTAGTTTGAAATTAGTATAAATGAAATATTGCAAAAAATAACCGGCCAATAATATAATATATCAGTTAAATATAGTATTTCATAGCTCAAATATCCTATGTACTAATCCAGACTTTCAATGCAATGCGTTACTTAAATCATCAATCAACAATGAATGAAAATGAAAATTAAAGATAAAATATTTGAACCTTTCAACTTCTTTTTGTGTAAACATTACCCAAATACTCAAAAGTTTTTTCCTTCTTTTACTAAACTTCTCGCACACATAAATAGTCAATTATCGATCTATCTGTTTTTTTTTTAATATTTTAGACAACTTTTTATGCAGCAGATTAAAGGTTTATGTTTTAATTGATTACCAAATCGGTTAAAAAATGTCAGTATTATGTTTTTCTATATAAATATGTTTGATTTCTTGTTCAAGCATGAAATAGACTGTAATAGCATTTATATGTGAATAAAGAACAACTTTCAAACATTTTTATAAAGTCAGAACATTATTCGAATGAAATCAAAATTTCAAGCATATTAACGATAAGCGGAAATGATTAAAAAAGTAATAGTTTCTAATTTCTTATATAATATCTACATTGGTGTATTAGTTATTTTTTTCTTGTAAATTCTGATTATTAGTGTATACTAGATAAAGTTCTTTGTGTGGTGTGTAGCTTCATTATAAGAAGTTATTATTGTTTTAATTAGAGATTTAGATTACACATCTTGTAAATTTATAATTCAACACTTTAATAATGAATTCCTTTCCAACTTAAGTTGATTGGAAGAAGAGGGAAGGTAACCAATATAAACTTTTGTTTCTTTTGTTCTATTTTTTATTTATTTATTATCTGTTAAAGCTTTAAAAGGTTAAAATTTAAAAAGGCTATAATATAATTTAAAAATGTGGATGAAATTTACTTAGCGTCAAAACAAAAGTTAAAAGTAGATGAAAATATAAAAATGCATTCAACGACAATGCAAACCAAATAAAATTACCAAAACATAAGAAAGGAAAACTAGTAAAAAAAAAATTCTTAACTAATAAAACTTACAAAAGTAAATTAATATAAAAAGGAGTTAGATTACAAAGGATAGAGATATTATAAAGTAAAAGTGAACTTAATCTAAATTGTAATTCCAATTAAATTGAGCAAAAGTAACTTATTATAAATCTCGTTGCCATGAGATTTGTTTGTGAAAGAAAGGAAAAATAGAAGAAAATGTTAGAGAAAAGGGAAAAAATTGCCACTGAGACAGAAACACGCCAGGACAAAAAGTAGTAACAAGAAGAAAATAAATAAGAGAAGTTGGAGAAAGCGACTAGCCTTATAACGTAGTTTTTCACAAACATACACATGATTAAAACTACTGTGATTTTTGTCCACAAAAAAAATTCAATTTAGTGTTTCAAGATAATTAATTAAATATGTCTTAATTTAAATATACTTTATATTCCAATACATCAAGACAGTTTCACCCAGTGTAATAATTAAAACCAAGTATAATTTATAAACATTGATATTCCTTAATTAATTTCAAGATCTCTTCTCTCTACCTCTCCCACCACAATATATAGATTTCCTTAAAATGCAAAAAAGAAAAAGTTGCTCAAAGAAGAAAGGTAACGAAAAAAGAGTGAATGGCAAATTATATGGATTGCCATCAAATGCCACTAAAGAGAGAGGTAACAAAAACGGTAAACGGACAAAATATGTTAACATCAACCTACTTTCAAAGGCAGCCACGTCCTAATAAAATGTGGATATTATTTACACAACTGAAGCAAAATGCTGCCTTGTACAACCCATGTTTTCATCCCTGATTATGTGATAATTATCAATTTTAATTTATTATTACTACTAACTAAATTTAAGGGTCTGAAAATTTGAAAAAGGCCAGAAGTTTAATTCATGGTTCAGGCTATTGACACATGATATTATTAGAACAGTGTGTGTTGGTTTCATTGGTGGGGGTGGAAGCTCCAATCCAATGGCCATATCTTTGCGTATATGATGCACAGTGAAACAATCAACCCGCTTCATCAATCTCTGTTGTTGCACTGCCATCAATGTCCACCACCATTTCTTCCCTTCCCTTCTCTCTCCCCCTTCACCACAACTCTAGGGTTTCACCTTTCTATCTACCTTCCTCTCCTATTCCATCCCAATCATCTATCACCTTTCCCACAAAAGTAAGTTTGGTTTTTGAACGAAGTTTTTTTCTTAAAAATATTATTTTTGTTAATATTTAATCTAATGGGTCAATTGGGTATTGATTTTTTTAATCAATTAATTATTGTTGAGGAATTTCATTAAATGATTGGGTTGGTGCATGAAATACGCAGTTGGTGTATGAAGATAGTTTGGTTTTCTCTTCTTTATTATTGATCTGAATCATTTGTCCATTATAGAAATGGAGATTTTTGTGTTTTAAACATGAAAACACTTCATCAGAAATTAATGTTCCTGAGCTCAAGGACGATAAATTGGCGGAAGATTTGGTGAAGCGTGAAGGTGACCAGTCCAATGACCTGAAAAAAGATTGGTTTGCTGCTATTCGTGCGGTATTTACTTCATTTGTTCTGTTTTGAATTTTGAAGTTTCTATTCTTGGTTAATGCTGGTTTATTAAGTACTCTATGCGTTGCGCATTTCTTGATTGTGTTCATCTTGTTTTAAAATGCACAAGCCCATGGGTTTAATTTACATTCAATGGATGAAAATGTCTAAATATATTGTGAAGGCTGTCACTGATTAAAGAAAGATAAGCCCTCTTAAATGTTATTTTGTTTTAGAATTATGGTTTTAAATTGTAGTTCTGGCTCCTTTGTGATTATGTTAGGAATTCCTGTGTTAGACCATGTTAGAAGTGAGTGGGAAGAGAAGAGTGACTTGTTTAGGCTGTAAAAAAACTTCCCTACGTGTCAAAAGGTTAGAAAAGCTAACTCATAAAGTTGAAGACTGTGTAAGGGAAGAGGGGGAAGTGAGGGAGGTAGGAATTTCTGTGGGTTTGAGGAAGGTTCAGTTCTCTTGAATGGCAGCACTGTCTTTTCTCCCGTAGAATTCTAGAGGTCCATCTTCATTATATGGAGTTAGTCTCTGTATTTTCTTAAACAATTCAATATCACATAATTACAAAAAATTCAGACTAATGAGGTTGATGTGGTTTCAATTGTTATTCCAGAGACCTCCAAAACTACACTTTTGTAGCTGCATCTGTGGTTGCATATCATAATTTATAACTATTTCTCTCTCGTCCAGTCATACTATTCTTATATAATTGTCTTTTTGGTGAACCTTTTTTGGCTTATTTTATCCTTCAACCTGTTCTCTATTTAACTTTTATTTAACTTTATTAAGATTATCATACCCTCAGTTTAGGTCCACAAAGAAAAATGGTTAGATTGTTTGTTCAAGTGAATTCCCTCTCTGGTCATTGTGTATTAGTCACTTTAGTTCCTAACTAAACAAAATTCTCAACTTTGACCCAGATTTTACGAGATGACATCCACTTAATGTTTTTTTTTTTATTTATTTTTTATTTTTTTTGTGAAAAACAATCGTAAAAGTTAAATTGGGGAGCAAGACTACAATGGACTACATTTTGCAAAGTTGTAGAAGAACTAGAATGGGGTTTACTCTTTTTTCATTTTTTTCCCTTTCTGTTATGTGCTTCATGAAACAAAATTTCATGGTGGCATTATCGTAAGCGGTGACCAAGTGGGTAAAATAAATACTTTTATAAAACACAATCTTATTATTGATCTATAAAACACAATTTCATAACTTCTTGCAAGATGGTTGGGTGAAAATCTTGGACAAAGATCTATATGCTATCTTACATTTTAATTATTTTCTCCCACAAAAGGCGTTGAGTATGCTACTTCAATTGACCTAATGAAATCAGTAATCCGGTCACTCTTAAGTTAAAAGTTCCAACAGTAACTGCGTGTTTGTAATGGTGTTTTGTACTCATGTCAGAACTAAAATCCATGTCGAAAGTGATAAAAGATGCAGAAGCTGCTATTATTTGCTTTTAACCTACTGATTGAACATGTTTACCAAATCACCTACTGACTTGTCCTTCAATCTTGACAAATTTGACATGCCATTCTGATTTAATTCCTTTGGACAATCTGAAGAACCTGAGCTGATTCGTGTTCTCTTCTTTTGTCAGATTGGCACTTGACTAACCAAAGAAAAAGTTGTTTTTCTCATGCTGTAGGTGCTCCTTAGTTTTAGAACTTGAACCATGGTAACGTAGGTTTCTAGATCTGAAGAGAGTAATAAATATGGCAGCAAACATGAAGCAAACTCTTGTTCGTTCATCCTTTTTCAACTTTCACTCCATGTTGTTAGAAATTAGAAGGGGAAAAGAAAGATTCTTTATACATAGTCATATGAGAGTGGACAAAGAACAAAAAGATAAGGCAGAGGAATCTCAAAGGGATTATACATGAAGAGAATTGGTATTTTTGAAAGAATTAGCTTTTAAAAGATGGTTTTCTCAGCTTTGCAACTTCTATGATATCACCCTATCAAATATATACTTTTACATGTTTTATTTCACACTTTCAACAAACCATCAAAATTGTTTCAATTCATTAACAATGATAAAATAAAAGATAAAAACTCTAAAATAAAATCTATTTTGACGGTAAAAGTCCAAAAACCTAGAATATATGTTCAATGATTATTGTTAAAAACATGATTATCAAGTGTCCAACATTTTGGTTTTGGCAAGCAAATCTTCAAAATACTTAGACCGGGTCATAAGCAAGGATCCATCGGATTGAGGTCACACTTCTATGCCATGAAAAGATTGATTAAGGGAAAAGATTGAATCCAACTACTTAATAATATGTTGAAGAAAAACAGGATGAACTACTTGCTTTATTGATGTTATCAACATATATCAGTAAGTAGACAACACAGGATGCTTGACTATGAATGAACAAAGATGGATAACACTTGCTATCTTTAAAATCAATGGCTTCTAGTCCAGGTGGTTGAGCCATAAAGACTTCTTCATATAGAAAACCATTGAGAAGCATTGTGAACATCTAATTGAAAGATATAGCATTTGCATGAAAGAGCAAGAGTAAGAACAATTCATATAAAAAGTGGTTTAACAACTGGAGAGAGTTTCTGTATAATCAAAACCCGACTATTGATAAAAGCCTTTTGCAACAAGCCTTACCTTATACCTTTGAATATTACCACCAGGATTTGCCTTAATCCAAAACATCCATTTGCCTCCTATAGCTGTTCTGTGAGGCAACAGTTAAACAAGAGACCAGGGGTTAGAAATTTCATCCTTCAAAGCAGAAAACCATTGTGAATCACAAAGAGCTTGTCTGGTTGTAGTAGGTTCCAAGTGGGCAAGAAGAAGGGTAGGATGAAATGAGTTTGTAAAATACCAGTTTTGGATCTAGTTTGATTTGGATGAATGCTTGAAGGTCTTGGTGATTGACCAGGTTCTAAATTAGATCAAGAGAAATTGGTGGTTGAAGAAAGTGACAATGGAGTTGATGATTAGTGGGTGTAGACTTAGCTATATGTGATAAGGTGGAGCTAATGAGATCTGAAAAATTGCACTGCTAGGTATAGGTGCTTGGAATGGTTAGACTATGGGAATATTGGAAGAAACAAGAGGGTTGACGAAGGTATAGCCCCCACAAATCACTAAAAATAATTCAAAAGGAGAATTATAAGTAGTGAGAGAATGATGAGAAGGGATCAATGTGCTTTGCCCACACAATGAGCTAAACAAAATGGCAAACTAGTTTTAATATTGAAAGGCATAATACAACATTGAAAAACAAGACAAAGTGCATTGAAATTGGTGTTTCTTAACTGTAAATGCTAGGTATGAGCATTACAATCAAAATTATTATTAGAAATAGTGAGAGTTTTAAACTAGGAGTAGGAAAATAGAAGGTTTGTGTATATAAGAGGCAAGACACAAGCTGGGAAACTAATAGAAAAGTCGAACTTTTCTGTGTAGAAGACTTTCATTGGATGCTTGACATTTGACATAGAAATGTTTAGGATGATACTCAAAGTAAGCGTTGTTATCTTGAGCAAATTTACTAACACTGAGAAGATTCTTTGTAGTGGAAGAAACATGTCAAAGTTTGTTAAGAATAAAATGCATTTTGGGATAATGTAAAGATGTAAGCAAAGTAGAACTGAATGAGGAAATTTTATCCATTCCATGAAGATCTGATCAATACCTTCAGAAAGAGATAATTGTTGAATATTTTGAGCCACAGTAACAAGAAACACTAAACCAAGGGAACCATGTCTAAGGAATGGCTTGATCCATATTGGTTAACATTGCTTGAGGCGCTTTGGGACAGGTAACAAGCTGTGAAGTAGCAAACTGTGAAGGTTGATATTGATGTTGCAAAGACTGAGGAGATGATTGTGTCCAATGAGAAGAGAAATGTGAATTTCCTTGAGGTCAGCGCATGCTAGAAGTGTGAGAGACTTGAGGAGGTTGAAACTGTGGATTGAATAAATTGTCGCATGAAAGCATTGCATGACCAAACTTGAAACATACTTGGCATTGAATCGAGGCTTGACCATCATGACTTCAACCACTGGAACGATCAGTTTGCCACAAAATTAGTATATTTTGAGGTAACACTAGCAATTTGCATCTGTTGATCATTGGAGGATGATTATGATGGTGAAAATTGATCAATGTTGACAGATAGGTAAAAGGATAAACCAGTGTTGTTTTTTTCAATACTTCCATATCCATTGAGGTAGATCAAGGGCAAGAAGTATGCCTCTGATGATAGCATAATCATACTCAAGCTAATCCCTCAAGAATGGAATCAAGATGTTCTTTGGAAGACATGATCTCCAATGGGCGCAAGATAATTAACAAACGGCTTTATGCACAAAAGAAATCAACTGTCTTATTGGCAAGAGAAGAATTGCACAACTCAGAATGCAGCTGGCATGCCTTTGTACCAGTTTGATGATACAAATATGCATGGATCTTCTACCTAATTTCATGAGTTAGTACAACCAAGAACGTGAGAAAGAATAGTGTTGGAGAGCAAGGATCGAAGCCATGCTATGAGTAATTGATCTTGTTGTTCCCAAAACAACATAGTCAAGGTTTAGTGGTTAAGAATGCAATCTTACTCAATCAGAAAACATGAAGGAATTTTCACAGCAATGATGAAATGATGTCAGCAGTGTGCTTGGATAACTGGTTCTACCTGGTGGCACCATTGCAAAAAAAATTATCATCCAGTTTCTTCATGATTTGATGTGGAAAGGTCACTGAGCTTGTGTTGAAACAAGGAAAGTAAAGCCATACATGATTCGATGTATGAGATGCAATGGCATGAAGCTGATCTGTCAGTGGTGGAGGAGGAGGTGGAGGATCAATAGGTGTTTTATTTTCAGAAGCCATGGATCAATTGGCTCTTGATACCTTACTAAAGTGGAAAGAAATCATTTATTGATTCTACACTGAATGAGTACAGGGATTGTAAACTTGTCTATTCTTTGTTACAAAAGTCCTTTATATATAATAGTAGATAGACGTTTAACAAAGTTTGTAATAACTAACTGAACCAGTTAGTTATATAATCCGTACAACACATACAGGAAGATAAACAGAAGTAAAATTAGAAGTATCTCTAAAACAAAAATTTGGCAATAGTGTGTAGGACCAGATAAATTAGAGTCGTATAGATTATGTCTTCATATGTTTTTGGTTAAAATGAATCTGATGACATCATTCTCAAAAGAATTTCTAACATTATCAAACTGTCTAAACATCAATATGCTTTTAAATCTTTACAATCTGTCCTTAAACAAGTTGTTATACACTTCCAGAAGAAGGAAAAGAACTGAGTGAGATGGGAGTTAGTCATGTTGAAGTGTGAGGAAAGAGGGATTCGTTAGTGAATAGTAGGTTCGTAGGGAGCAGGGTTGAATAGTGGGAGGAAGGAAGTGAGTATTACTATATTGAAGTGCGGGTAGGGAGGCTATCTTCCCGTAGAAGCTCGGTCTCTGGGTATTTTCTAAGGTTTCTTGATTATAGTAGCTCTATTAGTTCATTTTGTGTTAATCAATAATATTGTGTTCGTATAAATCTGTCACAGAGAACTAAAACATCTTTAGGGAGTCTCAGAGATTGTAATAGTACTGTGTTTTTAACATTTCAGGTCATAACTGTTATTCATAGTGTGAAACCGTGGACAGTTCCTTGGACAGCAAAAACTATTGTCCAGGTAAAGTATATGCTTTCTAACGTTTTGATACGATTATCAATGCTGTCAATATTTTGAGTATGTTTTGTACTTTAGATCCAGGATTTCATGCCTTCTTACCATAGGAAGCTCTATTTGTATGTTTAGTAAATGAAAAGGCATGAAATGGCCATTCCATTCAGGCCTACTTCTGCATTGCCAGGAATGCCTGTTCCTATTCTTTTGTACTGAATGGGGATTCTTGGCTGTCAATACGGCAATAAAATTAATGCTTGACAACTTTACCCCAATGTCATTGATGCAAAAATGATAAAAGGTATTACTTGATTGGCAAATAATAATGTGGTTAAAAATGATATTTATTGGTTTGCCCACTCTCCCTATTAAAATGACTGCAAAATTAATAAACTACTTATATTTAAAAATTATTATAAAAACTTTTCATCCGTTGCTACTTGACCATCTGAATTTGGAAAACTAAAATAATAACTTCTTTTTTATTGAAATCTTTTTGTTCAAGTGCAAAATTGTAAAATAGTTATATTTAGCAATCGTAACATTTGATGTTAGAGAAGTTTTTGTTGTCATTACAATACAATTCTGATTCTATTCCATGTTCCAAATATAAAATATGTTCTGCAATCACGAGACTAACAAGCAATGAAATGATCACTTCTATCTCTTTTATTCTCCTTTCATAGTATGCAAATACCATTCTCTGTGTTGAACTAACTTAAATTTTAGGTCAGAAATAAACTTTTATTTCATTTCAAAAATAGACTTTTATAATAAAGTATTATAATTTTTTTTGTTATTGTTGAAAAGGGAGAAATTGAAGGCATGTGATGAATTCTGAATGTAGCGTACACGCATGACTTGAGTATTCTTATTTATAATGAAGAAGACATATCATAATAAGAAATAAAAATAATAATTTATAAAAAGAAATATATGCAGATATTTTCTTATTGATGTAATATACTTATATCATATTTTTCTATTTAATGTTATCACATCATATCTTTAAGAGTTATAACTCTTTTCAATTAGGAACTTGTAAATGGATGAAATTGCCATATATTTACTTATTCAGAAATTATATTGTCGGTTTGATTTGCTCTTACTATCATTACATCTAGAAAGGCAAACTAAGTTGGATTCTGCAGGTTATGCTCCTCTGGATTGCCTCATTTTGGTTTGTAGGATCTTGGATAGTTCCATTTTTAGCATACACAGCAGGGTTTAGAAAGGAATCCCTCACATACAGAGGGCAAGCATTGTACAGCCTCTTGACCGATGTTGCCGAGGGTGTGGTTGGGATAGCAATTCTTCGGCATTGTCTTGCAAAGTTTCAACCTCTTTCATCTGATTGGTTCAAATTTGAACTGAAGGGGAAGTGGCAGTTTGATGTCGGTTTGGGCTGCCTTATGTTCCCCCTTATCAATCAGCTATCACAAATGAACCTAAATTTGTTGCCTGTTCTTCAATATACTCCAGTTCCCATCTCAAGTGTAGAGCAATCCATTGTTGCTCGAGATCCTGTGGCAATGGCGCTCTATGCAGTGGTAGTCTCAGTTTGTGCCCCAATATGGGAGGAGATTGTCTTCCGTGGTTTCCTTCTCCCATCTTTAACCAAATACATGCCTGTATGGAGTGCAATATTAGTTAGTTCGGTATCTTTTGCCTTGGCACATTTTAACATTCAGAGGATACTACCGCTTGTATTTCTTGGTATGGTGATGGGTACTGTCTTTGTACGGTCTAGGAACCTCTTGCCATCAATGTTGTTGCATAGTTTGTGGAATGCTTTTGTATTTCTGGATCTCATGAAATAAAATATATGTTTTTGACTCTCTTCTTACTTTTTTGGCATTCTTGCTTCCGAATCTGTCTATTTTCCACTCCCTGTCAGACAAATTAAGGTGCACTTATTATGCTTTGATCAAGATTTTATATAATTTTTCACTTCTCAATGTTAAACTCGGAGGGTTAAAGGGTTAAAAGTTTAAAACCAGAAGGGGGAGGAGTAGGTCGGGTGGGGTTGTGTTGTCCTACTTTTGTCAATATTTAGACACTTGACATCAGTAGTACGATTATTGTCGGGAGAACTGTCAGCAAAACACTATCTAATATACTTTATGAACGCGTTCTTTACTATTGATTGAAATCTACTAGAAAACACCATATTTTCAATGAGTTTCTACTTGATTTTGTAATTTTGAAAAAATTCAACTAAGGATAAGGAGTGTCAGAAAGATGTTGCAAATGAGTTTCTCAGGAGACTTAATGGTATCATTTTTAAGCTCAAAGTTCTCGATTTGAGCTAGAGAGTGTGTTGCGAACAGTCCTCTCATTATTGTCAGTGCTGATAAATGTTTGTCAGGACCCCGTTTGTGAAGCATCACATTAAGATGGTTGACAGTCTTTCACCAAATGCAAGAACTTCAGAATTTCAACTTTCAATGCCAACTGCAGATGGAATTCCAAGATAAAATATTTCAGAAGTCTCTGGAAGATGAACAATTAAGGATGACTGAAAACGAAATGCAGAGTATGCTTGATTAAGTTATAGAGAATCCAATATGCAGAGTTTGCTTTATTAAACTATACAGAATCCAATAATTTATTGGTTGCCTCTCCCAGTCTTAACATCCTTACAAGCTGGCCCCAGAACGGCACTTAATGACAAATAGTTATAGAATGAGTGCATGTGGTTTGCCTAATGCCTATAGCCACATTTTACCTGCTGCTGAGCTGGTTGTCATGATGCTCCCTTGTGAAATTTATCTGCAATGCAGCTAACTATATTCTCGTAGATAAAAATTCTGTCAATTTTTATCAGAACCACTTAATTCTTTGGGTCCTTCCTGCTTGCATGAATGGTGCAACATTCTTTTCAGAATTAGACTGCATTAATGAATGTTGTATTTACCAGTAAATACATATTGTCTTAAATGGGGACATAGGGGAGGGGACCAATTGGTTTCAAGTCACTTACTATCCTGGCTCAGTAACTTTTGTCCCATGAACTTTTGCGGATGCTTACTTTATCCGACAGCTGATGGGACCCTTGTCTGCTTTTTTAGCATCTCATAGAATTGTTTACACAACCAGTTTGCCCGTTTTTTTTTTATGAAAACGACGTTACTTTCTTACACATTTAAGCCTCAGAAGATTTGTGTGCAGGTCCACTCAGGCAGCTAGTGGATCAAAAAGCCTGAATTTCCTTACCCCACGACAACCTCATCAGTTTTGCTCTTTAAGAATTCAAATTCGAGTTGAACTCATCGAATGGCAAATGATTCTGCATATGCCAATAGGGAATGTTATCGTGTAATTTATCACTCTGTAATATGCATATGCCTTCCTTTAAGAAGAAAGTGCATGATAGTCCTTATGTGCACGTCAATTTGGTTTTAAGTTATCTTAATACAACATTTTAATTTAAGCTCGATTGTACTTTTGCTACATTGACAATTATTAACGTCTATAGAAGGAATATTTTTGTTCTTGAGATTTAAAGTGGTTTTGGTTTGCTCACCTTTAAATTATAAACACTCCGACATACGTGTACTAACTACTAACACACCTTTAATGTAGAATAAGAAACTTCAATTTTCAAAAAATTAAAATATAAAAGTAACCAGTTAAAAATTGAGCAAATTAACTAAAATCACATTATAATTTTCAGAAAAAAGTTACTGAATCGTTTCCTCTTTCTTTTGCATTACTCATTTTATTTATTATTTTTCTTACAATATTACCATAAATTTATTATGTATACGTGTGTGCATTCTTTTTCAACTTTTATAAACTATTTCTCATAAGTTGTCCTGGTCGTCTCTTTTTCTTATCACGATCTTTCCCAAAGAAAAGTAAGATACGATTTAGAATCAAAATTTTGCTTTTACACAGAAAGGTTTACCGACACTCACCTTTTAAAGAGCTTTTGGTTATTATCGATGAAAACTCGTTGTGCAAGGTAATAATTTACCAAAGCAGTAGCTGGTGGCAAGGCTAACTTAGAGAACAATCTCTTGATAGATATATTTACTACAGTATTTTCTATTCTAAATTTCTTGAATAAGACTAATATTGTGCATAGTTGAAAAACCACTAAAATACTATGGTACGATGCTTTTTCTCTTCATGAAACAATAATGTTGTCCTAGGGTATCTCGTGTATATAATAATCCATGATGGTCCAATAAAATATACAACATATCTATGTCATTTAGGTTGCATGCACATAATAAATATTGTAAGATGAAATATTTTATAGTTTCGAGTTTAGCCTGGTGTTGCAGGCGTGCAGCAGTTGGAAAGTAATATCACACTGATGAAATCACCTTTCTCAAGTGGTCATGTCCATCCAAATAATTTTATTACACAGAACAAGAAGACAATGGAAAAACGTAGAAAACCTTAGTACAATCAACAACCATTGCACATATTGTTTTAAAACATTGATTTATCATAACAGCGGAGGATGTAAAAAAATTGTTATTCAATTTACTGTTCTGCATCTTTTTTAGTGGATTGAATTCCCAGTGTAACAACATTTGGATATTAATGTGCATGAACCTCAAGGATTTTCTAGAATGTGATTTGCAATTTAGACTGCAAGTCTAGAAACAAACCAACTCCTCCTTTATGAAAATTTGAAAGCAATAAATGATTAAAAAGAGAAGGTGAGGCTAACTGATGAAACAAGACATTATGGGTCTATTGGTGGGCTCATATTCCTGTTTCTTTTTCTTCCTTTCTCATTTCCAATTATTAAAACTCATTGTCTCTTGCCAGACAGCCACATGACTAATTCTTGGACAGAGATGATATATATTAAGGGTGTGTGTGTATGTGTATGCATATAAGTCAAAAGATATGCTGCACAAGAGGAGTGAGTGCTTCTGCTAGCAATAGCCTACCTTGTATCCCCTTTTACTTAAATTGTCAATTCTTTCCAAGATCCTTTCTATACCTTCACAATACCATAGCCATGGAAACTTCTCAGTCTCTTTCTATTGAAAGCTTCTCATACAGTTGGTTAGTAAACCTGAGGCCATCATCACTAGAAAGCCTTGAAAGCTCTCTTAGGACTTCCCTTGATGCATCTGATGAAGCTTCTTTCATTGAGATGGACCCAAGAAAGCCACCCTCCAAAAGATTCTTTAAGAACTCACAGGACTCCAAATTTGACTTCCCAATTTCACAGTCCCCTCTTACTCTTGTCCATGCAGATGAACTTTTTTCCAATGGCTACCTCATGCCCCTTTTTGTTGAATCACTGCAATTGGAAGAATATGAGTTCTCTGATTCCAACACAAGCTCGGTTTCATCTTCACATGCACCAAAGAGTGAGGCTCCTACATGCCCTTCTAGATGCCTTTCCTTAAAAGGGTGCAGAACATTATCAAGGAGTGTCTTTCAGAAGTATCTGAACTTCTTAAGGCCTCTGTGTAGAAGACTGAGGGGTCACAAATCAAGTACTGAAACTGCTGCTAAAAGAGGTGTGTCTGTGAAGAATAGGAGATACTATTCAGACACATCCCCTCGAATTAGTGTAGCCCTTTCTGCTGATGATTGGCGATACTCTTGTGATTCTGAAAGCTCAATATATGAGGCCGTTCTTCATTGCAAAAGATCCATTGGTAATGGTAAGTGCAAGTCCAACATATTATACATGTCAATTGAACACAGCTGTTCCCATCATAGCATTCTCTAGATTTTGAAGTTCTAACATTTTAATACTTTGATTATGGCAGAGAGAACTGGTTAAGGGAGCTGCAAAAGGGAAAGGAGAAGATGAAGATCAAAGAAAAGGGATTAAACTTAATCCACTGTCACTGTCACTGTAAAACTTTTTATACTAGGAGGAAAAAAAGACGACACTTTATTGTTGTAGCTAAAAGCTTTGACGCTTCTTGTGGATGTTTTAACCATATTTCACTAATATTACATGCCAGTGGATTCAAATCATTTTTTAAAAAATAGGGATAAGAAAGAATAACAGTCACATGTCAACTGAATATGCATGAAGCCAAATTATCATCAGCCACTCATCCTGTCACTATTCTCTCATCTGCTTAAATGGCATAGGAAGTTCACAGGAAAATTATTATATGTTGTTAGTCAAGCTTTTTGCACTCAAATTTTTGGAAAAAGAATAAAGACACTGCTCAATTTTTCTTTCTAATCTTGTTACTACCACTGAGGAACCTTTTACAACAGATAAGATTCTGCTTCCCAATTTCAGTGATGCAAAAGTTCTTGAAATAATTGTATAAATACATTTTGAAAGATAATGTTGAAAGTCTCGAGTCGACTAGAGATATGGTCAAATTATAATATATATAAGTGGGGTTCAAACCTCACATAACAAGTTAGTTTTGTGGAGTTGAGTTAGGCTTAAAAACCCTTTCTAATATGATATTAAAATTTATCCTAACGATGTTTCTCAGTTTTCTAGGCTAGATTTAAAATCATTTTTTAATATAGGAATTATCATATCAAGTTTTATATGATCGTAACACTAATGCTATCATGATGCTACATAATTACAGTAGTTGGAATCTACAACCTTGATAACGATTAGTAATCTTAATTTTCAAGAAGTTCCTAGAAACACAAGATGCCATTATTATTTTTTAACTAATGCGTCAAATTCAGCAGGAATATTCCTATCTATCTTGTTCTGAAACATCAATAATTGCCTGATTGGTGTACGAGATTGTTTGTTACATGTTTATTTTCAACTCTACCAACCCAAAAGGTTTTCATTTTTTCCTAGAGTTATTTCTTTTTACAAGATGATGACGGAAACATGTCAATGGATGAGTAGTTTTGAGTATATATATATAT